TTTATTATTTATATTCTAAAATTAACTGATTAAAGTCTCGCGAAAAAAATATGCAATATTTATGTCACCTCCCTGTATATTAAATTTCTAAAAAAGATTTTATATATAAGACCTTTGCAATAGAAAGGAGAAATAGCTGAAAAAGTTTAATTTGATATTTATATACTAAATTTGATTTTTGAATCAAAATATGTTAAGTTTTTTACATTAACTCATATTTTAATAAATTTAGTATAATAAAACTTTACTTTATTAATCTCTTTATATAATAAATTTATTTACTCAAAAAAAAATTTTATAAACTCAAATAATGATTCAGTTCAATAAGTTTACCTATATTTATAATTAAAGAAATCAAATTCCTAAGATTCTATATCGATATCGATCAATCACCTTGTTACTCTAATTCTACAATGATCACTTCTTATGGCAAAAAATCAAAAAGCATTTATCTAGTACTAATAACCGAAATCATTTATCTTGTATTAATAACAATATTAACCTAAAACTTAATTCATGAAAAAGGTTCGGTGCTCACATAAGACGTATACAATAATAATACATTATTAATAATGATATTTCATAAAAAAAAACCTAAAATCAAAATAATGTATTTTTTGAAAATGATACATTTTCCCACTACTTTATTTACTTTCTTGACTTTCCCAATTATATTTAAATTAAAGAAAAAAAAAGTCGTTCACACGTAAAAGTTTACTCTTTTTCTCTCAAAATCTCAAAATCTTTTTTTTTTTTTTTATTTATAAATAAATTATAATATAACTCGAATGAACCAATTAAATTGAAGTAATTCGTAATTACATTTTTGTTGTATATAATTACTTGTTTTAGATATCAAATAATTATGCGTGAATGGGTAAGTTCTCAACCTTGTTCTATTTACAATATTCTTAATCATATTGATGTATAAATAATTATTCGTTATTTGATATTAATAGTGTATATGATAATGCAAACCTATGTAGATATATTTATAATGATTCGTTCGTAAGGATTAAAAAAAAACGAAAAATAGTCTTAGGTTGGTTGGTTGGAATTCATAGTAATAAGATTAAATTTCCCTCGAATCTCAAATATTATGTTAAAAAATAAAAATCTTAGATTATTCATTCATGTAATGGTTTGCTGCTTATCATCTCCAACATCAGCAATATTTTTTTTCTTTGTTTCTTCTATTTTCTGCCTTTTCACTCCTTTAAGTTCATTTAGTTCATCTATCAACTTTCGAATAATTTCATCCTTTTCTTTAGATTTTTGTTCAAGTTCCACAATATGATCATGTGCTATAAATAAATAAACATGTAAATATAGTAAAAAAAATTGCTTAAAAATGACAAATTTACACTTTATTCTTACCTCTCTTTAGTAAGAATAATTTGCTGACATTTTTAATAGACCCATCGCCAGACTTTCCGTCAGACTTTCCATCACCAGACTTTCCATCACCAGGCTTTCCATTACCAGGCTTTCCGCTGCCAGACTTTCCATTATTACTTTTACTAGCGTTATTAGTATTTCCATCATCACTGTTATTTTTATTTAACATTGAATGATAAGGTACAACTTTTTTCAATTCATCAAAACTCTGTTTCAATGAATCTCTACGCTTTTGTTCAGCCGCTTTATGAGTTGTGCGTCGAGATTCTAAACTCGAATGTACATCTGATGGATATGAAATTCCGAGGGACCTTTAAAAAAAAATCAAAAAAAAACTGAATTATTACTGCAAAAAAAAAAAAAAGAAATAATAAATATATATATATATATTTTTATATATTTTTCCTTACTGCGCCGTTCCTTCTAGAATGCTTCTATAATTTGATTTATTTGCTAATTTTTCAGCAACTTCATCTGCTAGTACACCTGGTAACTTGGGTTTAAGGTTTGGACTTATAGTTGGCTTCAATGTATGAGGACTCTTTAAATGAACTGAAGGTCCAAGCGCCAATGGGGATGATGCATTTGGATTTGAACGCATTGGTTTTCTACCCGATGCTCCGGATGTAGAGGCTGATAGAATCGGTGACGTTGTTATTGGAGACATTCCTGGTATGATAGATGATATAGTTGGTGAAATCAAGTCATACATGTAACAAACTAATATGATGTATTGTTGTCCCACCTGTTCCCGTAGTTGCGATCATATTTGTACGAATTTGATTCAATTGAGTTGGAGGAGTCGGTGCAATGAAAGTAGATTGATCTTTTGAAAGAGACTGTAACTTTTGAGATTGTTCTTGTTTCTTTTGCTGGTCTTTTGGTAATTGTTTTTGTGAATTAGGTTTTAGATCGATCTGACTCGATTTTGGTGAATTTGGTTGTTTATTCTTCAATTTCATTAATGAGGATGGTGTTATCGGAGCTATCTTAACTGAAAATGAAGATGACGACGATTCATTTGAAAGGATATTTGTTGATGAGTGTGTATTCATAACGTCTGACACCAAATTACTTCCTAGGTTCAAATTCGGCATAGTATCTTGCATAGAAGATGCTATTGAAGTTTCAACCATGTTATTCAACAAAGGTGATGTTAACTCTAACAATGAGGACATTGTAATCGAGTTATTACTAGAAAACTTGTTTGGCGAACCTGTCATGAAACTTGTGATCGCATTATTCTGTCCATTTGCGCTATTGTTATTGTTATTACCGTTAGAATTATTGTTTCTGTTAGGATTTGTAAAAGAAGATTTCCTTCTTATTGACATGGAATTGTTGTTATTCAAAGAAACCTTTATAGGAGAATATCTTGCTTTGTGACTCTGACGTCTAGCCGGAGAATTGGAAGTGATATTCATGGATGAATCTGGAGGTAAAGTAGGTGAGATTTGAGGGGATAGAAGGCCAGCAGGAATATAATTGTGTAAGAATGGCACACCAGAAGATTCAGCTAAAGCTGGTGATTCTAATGGTTCGAAGTAGAACTGTGTAAAATATATATAAATTAATCCGGTTAATCATTTGATTTGTTTTGAGAAGGCAAATAAAAAGCGTAAAAAAAAAAAAAAAATAAAATAAAAATGAACCTCATCATCTTGAAAGGTATCTTCCATAGTCAAATGACCAGAGTTAGGTAACATATTATATGGAGACATTATTAAAGACTCGGGACATACAGCATTATTATCACAACCTTCGGGAGTAGGTAACATATTATTTGATAATGAATAAGAAGAAGAAACTGTGGCCATCAAGTGAGAATTTTGTGAAGTTAAATTCGTTGACACTAATGAACTTGTGGCGGAACCATTATTTCTATTGCTGTTTGTTGTTTGTCTTTGTTGGGAATGAGATTCACTTATAGGTAAAAAATAAACTTGAAAATTAAGATCAACTTCATTAGAATTGGAGTTTAAACCTGAAGCATCAAAATTTGAATAAGTTTCCATGTCTTAAAAACTTGAAAAATATCAATTGAATTCGATAATAAGCAAGGACATTTGATTTTAAAGCGAACACCACTAAAAAAATAAAAGGAAGAAGAGAGAAAAAAAAATTTTTTCACCTAGTTGACGAATGAATTTATAGGAAAATTAATTATTTATATTGTGAAAGTGTTTGCCTAACTAATTCATAATAAGAAATACTAATAAGTGATACGTGATACCAAACGCAAAATTGATTGACATCCGCCAATTTTATGAACCTAAAAATATATTTAGTTAGTTCAACTAGAAGTTAATTGTGGATTTACATGAAACATAATATTACCAAAAAAATTTACCCGACATTAAACCAAATTTTGGTCAGAAATTTTCACCAAAGCCTTAAATCAACTTTTTGATGTTTAAATAAAAACATGATAGTCATGATAGTCATAAGAACATATGAACATGTTGAAAGATTGGAAAAGAGCAGAGAAAAGGTTTATATAATTCCAAAGATATCTATCTTTATCTTCGAGTTATATATGCACGAGGTATGTCATTCAATTTCAATTGAATGTTGAAGCATAAGATGTTTATTATCTGAAAATCCTCAAGGGGGAGAGAGACATAAGGAATTAATTAAGATTTTATTTGTTGGGGGGCACTTTTTAAGTCAAAAAAAATCATCATTTAAAGATTAGTTCACTATCAGTCATAGATATCATTAATTTGGTAAATCGCAATTTTTTTAATATCGAGGAAATTAATTATGTTGAAAAACTTATAAAAGGCACCCAGAACGCCCTGTTGTTGGTCGTTTATTTTATTGCCTTTTTATCATTTTCCGTGTAAAAATTTAATTAAAAGTATTTCTTTCTTTTTTTTGTACATCGCATGTCAAATTATGGACGTCTTGTGTTCGTTTAAGCTTTAAAAATCATGTTTAATTGTTTCTCAAATCCAGAATGGATTAAACACTTTTGATACATAGAATGGTTTTAAATAAAATTCTTCCATTTCACTCTTTATTCTAAAGAAAATTTTTTCGCTCAAAAAATTTTCCGAAGATTATCATCCAAAACTTGTGGCTTTTTTCATACAATGATAATCGATAATATGAGATATACCAAATTTAGAAATTTAGATCGGAACTTTTTAGGACAAAAAAGATCAATTGTTGATTATTCAATTTACAAACAAAAAATTTGACGATGATTTACGTATGAATGTCAGGTGCTCTTCAAAACGGGCAAAACGGGAATTTGCCTAAAATTATTAGTATCAACAGTTTTGAATATATGACCGGATGACCGGATAGCTTCTTTTATAATTGTTCCCTTTTTCCCTGAGATTGGCAGATAATCATATAAAAAGGGGGTGTTACAGTGCATCAATGAGACCATAAGTTTTCATCATTGAAATTTTTTTTTTTCATTTTACTAGAAGATTATCCCTTTTTAAATCACGATTTAAAAAGGAAAATGTCTAATATGACATTATTTTTAACTAAAAAATATCATGAGGTATGTAATTCTTTGTGGCAAACTAAATTTTTGAATCAATCATGTGATGACCGATCAACCTTTTTTTTTTTTGCCGAAAAAAGTTGGCGCAAATTAGGCCAACTCTATTATCAAGAATATCAAATCAAATTCATTATAGGAATATGGCATTAATGACTAATCGCCCAATTCCACCTGTAAAAGATTGTGCAAAAATTACTCCACCTTATGAAAAATTAATTCAAAATTTAGCTTATGTTCAAAAAAAAATACTTAAGGACAGACCATTAACTCTTTCAGAAAAGATTTTATATGCTCATTTATGGAATCCTCATGAATATGATGGTGGGATTGTTAGGGGTGAAACTTATTTGAAATTGAAACCTGGTAAAGGATTTTTTTAAATAATTTTTTTTTGTAAAAGTGATTACGCTCACGTGACTTCAATGGATAGATCGTGTTGCCATGCAAGATGCTTCGGCACAAATGGCAATTTTACAGTTTATGCTTGCTGGAATGCCTACAACTTCGGTCCCATCATCAATACACTGTGATCATTTAATCGAGGCATTCCAAGGTGCTGATAAAGATGTCGAGGTATATAGATATATATAAATATGAACTTAAAGGATGCTTAGCTGAATTCTTTATTTATTTATTATAATTCTTATTATTATTTAGACTGCTAAATCTGTGAACAAGGAGATTTTTGATTTCTTACAAAGTACATCCGAAAAATATGGTATAGATTTTTGGAAGCCGGGAAGTGGTATTATTCATCAGATTGTATTAGAAAACTATGCTGCTCCTGGTGGACTCATGCTTGGAACAGGTTGATTTATCAAATAACATCAATTTTTTTCTACTTTGAATTCATTTTAATCGAGTTTTATAAATAAATTATTTATTTACTAGATAGTCACACGCCAAACGCTGGAGGGTTAGGCATGGTCGCCATTGGAGTTGGTGGTGCTGATGCTGTTGATGCAATGGCGAATATTCCATGGGAACTTAAAGCGCCAAAGATCATTGGAATTAAGTTAAGTGGAAGATTATCTAAATGGGCAAGTCCAAAAGATGTTATCTTACATCTAGCCGGGAAATTGACTGTTCGAGTGAGTCAAGTTTATGATGCATGAAAGTTTTTGTTTGAAATTTCTTTCAGGCTCTAATTTATATAAGTTGATGATGATTGATCCTAGGGAGGTACAGGACATATTATCGAATATCTTGGATCTGGGTCTGAAACTTTATCATGCACTGGAATGGCCACAATAGCTAATATGGGGGCAGAAGTAATAATATTTATTTTTGATATATTTATTTAAAATTGATGAATTTTTTTTTGATTAACTAAAATTTATCTTCCGTTAGGTTGGTGCAACGACTTCCGTGTTTCCATTTAGCGATAGCATGTATTCATATTTAACAGAAACAAGGCGACATCAGGTTGCCGAAGAGGCATTAAGATATGCTTCATATCTCAAAGCTGATGGCAACGTACAATATGATCAATTTATAGAAATGAACTTATCCGAGCTTGAACCTCATATTAATGGACCTTTTACGCCAGATTTGTCGACTCCACTTAGTAAATTTGCTGAAGTAGTTGCAAAGAACGGTTGGAAAGATGAAGTTAAAGCTGGTCTAATTGGAAGTTGCACTAATAGTAGCTATCAAGTAATTATTATATTTAAAATTTTTTTCTTTTCTTTTTTTTTTGTTTAAAAAAAGACATTAAATAATTTTTTTTGGAAAAAATTTTAAATAGGATATGAGCCGTGTTGTAAATTTAGCAAATCAAGCATTAGTTAAAGGAATACAACCAAAGGGAGATTTTTTTATAACGCCTGGAAGTGAACAAATTAGAGCCACGATGGTAAGAGATGGACAAACTGAAGTACTAGAACAAGTTGGTGGCAAAGTTTTAGCTAATGCCTGTGGACCTTGTATAGGTCAGGTAATTATAATCAAGTTAGCATTTTTTTTTGTGAAAAAAAAAGACTTTAACGTCAGGTATCTTTCTTGTTTAGTGGAAAAGAACTGGTATCAAAGAAAACGAAGAGAATGCTATCCTTACTTCGTTTAATCGTAATTTTAGAAACAGAAATGACAATAATCCTGGGACAATGAATTTCTTGGCTTCTCCCGAAGTAGGGATCTTTTATAAATTTAATTCTTATTCGGCTAATATTATTATCTATTCCAACATATTCCAACATATATCTTTTGATGTAGATTGTTACAGCTATGATATTTGCTGGAAAATTATCATTCAATCCTATGGTAGATACTTTAATAGATAAAGATGGAAAGCCATTTAAATTCCAAATTCCACATGGTGACGAATTACCTCGTCAAGGATTCGAATCTGGTACGTTAATTGATTAAGATTCATTAAAAACTAGCCGAATCTAATCTATCTTCCTTTTCATAGGTAACGAAGATTTAGAACCAATAATTACATTTGGCAATTCATCAACAGAGATCACTATATCTGAAGATTCCAATAGGCTTCAAAAATTAAAACCATTTGCTTCATGGCATGGAGATGAATTTAAAGGAATGAGAGTATTAGTTAAAGTTAAGGGAAAATGTACAACAGATCATATATCAGCAGCCGGGCCTTGGTTAAAATACAAGGGACATTTAGAAAATATTTCAAATAATACTTTAATAGGAGCATTAAATTCTGACAATGAAAAGGTTAATGTTGTAAGAAACATTTTAACTGGAGAGGTAAATTTGTCAATTTTGATAATGGTGCAAGATTTGATTATGTTAAAAAATTTGTCTAAATTTAGTTTGATTTTGAAATAGGATGGAAGTATACCAGATGTTGCACGTCATTACAAAGAAAATAATGTTTCGTGGATAATTATAGCTGATGTGAGTGCTGTATAAAATTTTATTTTTTAAAAAAAAAATCTTCAATTTAAATAATTATCATTTTTTTTTTTAGCATAATTATGGAGAGGGATCAGCAAGAGAACATGCCGCGTTGCAAGTTAGATACTTGGGTTGCCCATTAATTATTTCTAGGTCGTTTGCACGTATTCATGAAACAAATTTAAAGAAACAAGGAGTATTACCTTTGGTCTTTAAAAACGAAAAAGATTATGAATTATTTTCTGGAGGAGATATAATTGAAACGGTTGGAGTTGTTGGATTGGAACCCGGTAAAGATGTCATTATTAAAGTTAAAAAATATGGAAATGGTAATAAATTTGAAGTAGTGACAAAACATACTATGTCAAAGGATCAAATTGAATGGTTCAAAATGGGTAGCGCTTTAAATCTTATTGCTAATAAGCAAAAAGAATGCTAAAAAAACATGGGATTTTATATTAATTAACTAGAGTGGCTTTGATTTGATGATGCGCAGAAGTTGCCACCACCATCGTGCTTTTTTGTTTATGCCGATTATTTTTGTAATATATATTTTATTATTGTTATTTTATTTATTTATTTTTTTTTGAAATAAAAAATGATAGAAAATTGAAACGATTGTCAAATATCAAGTTTAAAAATAAATGGTCAGCATGACCTGATCGGTTGAGTTTGGTTAGATAAAATTTGGTTGCAAGTTAATGTGTTATTGTGGCTTTGAGTTTATCATGGGAAAGATACTTTGAGAGTTTCGTGGGTGGTGATCTTTCACATGGGTAACGGGCCGGTTGCTATTCTTTCAAGGTGGTTGTATTCTGCGATCATGTGGGTCAGTTATGAAGGTTGATCTGTCTAGCGTTGCTATTTGAATATTATCACAGCTGAGACATCTACGTGACGTATGCTTGTCCGGTAGAGAAGATTTGGTCGTCAAGGTTGATTGATACATTTTGTAAGGTGAGGCCTTGCGTCTTATGGAAGGTTAGGGCGCAGCAGTTAGAATTGCGGTGGCTTGCAGAATTTCTATTAATGTTAAAGTAATTTATGTTCGATCTGGCTTTTTGGTCGATGATACCACCTATTACGTTGAATGATACTTGGACTAAGTTTGTTTCAGCATTAACATCCGTGATGACGCTGATTGTTCCGTTGCATATGCTAAGTTCCGTTTTGGATTTATTTAGGTACTGATCATGACTTTTGCGCCTTTCTGAAGTCTGACCAATGCAGGATGGTTGGTTTTTGATTTGAACATTTTTTCAGTTAGTGTTGTATCTCACTTTTCACCGTTTATAGTGTCAATAGCATTGGATGTTAGGAATTTTTCACTGATTATTGGGAAGATGTTACATATTAGGCGGTTGATATTGGCCATTTCACGATAATCTATTATGTTTATCGTATTAAGGAGGAGGTCGACCAGTTTGTCAGGATGGAATTCATTGTTTTCTTTGTAATTATTCCAGATTTCTTCTGTTATATTTCCTACGTGAATGTTCTGGAGTGTGTCGAAAAAGTCTGATTGGTCTTGTTGACGGTAGGATGAGGGAGGTAAAATATTTTCCAAACCGATATCTTAAGCCTGTGACCAGTGGGAGTTGTGTCAGGTCACCGATTATGACAGTGTTTACGCCTCCAAATGCTATGGAGTTATCGTGGATGGTGACGAATTTAAATTCTAAGAGTTCAGCTGATACCATCAAGATTTCGTCTATTATGATGGTGTTGATTTGTTTAGTTGTTCTTTAAATTTATTATCGTAAAATGTTAGTGTGTGGTAGCCTGATTGAGCCAAAATTATTTTTAACGCAGAGTGAATAGTGATTCCTCTAATATTCTTTGTAGAGACACCTATTAGGGCTATTAAAAGGTATTTTCAATCATCATTTTTTTAGTGAATTAACTAAAAGATGCATGAAATACAATTTTCCTATTCCTGCTAATCCAGTGATGAAGAAGTAAGACTAATGATATGTTTCTCTTTTATTTAGGTAGGATCTTAAGGTAAAGATGATTAGGTAGTAGTTAGTATATGGCATTTTCAAAAAATATAAGTAGTAGTATTTTTAATGATTTTAATTGACTTTTTAGAATGATCATAATATTTTTTAGAATGATGTTATCTAAGTTTGATAATAAGTGTTTAGATTATAGAGTGTTTCGTGTTCATGATTTACTTAGTATGTTCAGTATGAATTTGAATAATTTGATTGATTTCTTTGATGGTATTTGGAAATTTGAATATGTAATAGTTATGATATATTAGAAACCTCTTTTTAATTTTTCTTTATTTCTTATTAGTAAATTTTTAGTAGTAATTAGTATCTTTCTGTCAGTTATTTTTAGAAAGCGATATTGGTTTAATCCCTTTAAGACATTTAGAATATGTTATTTGGTTAAAAATTTTGTTTGTAGGTTTGTTTATGTATTTTTCAATTAAAATTTTAAAGTATAAATAGAGCTCTGAATCAGATCAAGTCGATCTATTTACCTAACCTGATCTGATCTGAAAATTTAGATTAGGTTGATAAATTTTCAGGTTAATATCAGATCAGGTCAACAGATTAATCTGATTTAACTATAGATGCTTGCCGAAACCTCCTCAAAATAATTTCGTCATATCCTTTTCTATGTTTTTAATATAGTTTCGACAGTT